ACTCATTGCAAATCAAGTCTTTCAGTTCTTTCTTGATTCGAAAGCTGAGAAGCTTTGCACAAACGGGTCAATTCCAGCAAACCAGTCATGGCCATACTTGATTGAAGCAGGTTTTGCTAGAGGCCTTCAGGAACGATTGTGGTGACGTCTCCCACTCAAATCAAGCGTGGAACCGGGGAACCCAGGGACCTCAACGAGGCTTGGAGACCGCATGCTTCACCCATCATGTTATCTCGCCAGGAGAAGGAGAACCTGATCCGTGCCAAGACCGTGCTGGCCGGGATGTAAGAACCACTTCCGACGAACCTACGCAAGTCTTGAGACCCAAAAAGCAAGCGTCCCGCGGAGTCTCGCTGCGGTGCGCAACAAAATCGCTGGCCGAGTCGGGCACTGTGAACACTGATTCTCACTGCTGTGTGGGACAGTTCGAAGCTTGGCTTGGAATACAAAGGTGAATCTACTACAAACGACCATTGGTTGATGGTTGTGGGTGGAAAAGCTTTGCGTTGCTGCTCCTTTGCAACGACTCAGAAAGATCATTCTTGTGTTCACAAGTCGCGGAATGTTTGCTTGAGGCTGCTGCCCAACATAATTGAAATGGAAGTGCCAACCATTCAGCCATTTTTAGGGTATAAGCAGATTACAAGCCGCGAAAGTGAAGATCTTTCTTCCTCCGGTTTTGAGAAGTACCACAGACCGTCACAGACCCCAGAACTTTGCATCGAAACCAACTTCGATCGACTCCTCCTTTTGATCGACCACTGAAGCCTTCGCGCTGCGTCGATCGGCCGAGAGGAATGGCGGAACCGCCCAGGGTCACGAAAAAGCCATGGCCCTGCAAGTGATCGGTCAGGGTGATCGGTCAGGATGATACAGTACAGACAGGAATCCATGTAGGATACAACAGCCAAGCAACACATATCAAAGAAGCATAAAGAAGCACTAGGAATTTCAACAATCACATAGAAGAAACATGAACACCATTTGATAGACATAGATTGCTTGGCCCAAACAAAAACAACAGCGTTCCACACTTCCACGTGCACAACAGCCTTCGCCATCCTGGCATCCGTTATTTTCTTTGCCTTGCCACGCTTCCTTCGCAAAGCTCGCCAGGTACACTGCCGGGCGCTGTGTGGTGAACACCTGGACCAAGGAGGAGCCCCCAGGCGCTGCTCGCCATGCGCTCGATGCGCGATGCGTTGAACGCTCCGGGTCGATCGCTCCAGCGTGGATGGGGGGGTGGAGCTAGGTATACGGTATGCATGGCATTGTTGCGTCACAAGTATATATATATATATAATCCAGACGCCTAAGATAGAAGAAATTAGTTGTGAAAATCTTCTATTTGAAAGCGTGCCCGGTTTTGAACACCCGACCGGTTCAAATAGAAGATGGCCCACAAGCCCGGGCAAAACAAATAGAAGATATTATTTGGGACAGCCGCGGCTATTTCCATCTCCCTCTCCTCTCCTCTCCCCTCCCCCCCCCCCCCCCCCCCCCCCCTTCGCCCCTCCCCCCCCCCCCCTCTCCCCTCTCCCCTCTCCCCTCTCCCCTCTCTCCTCTCGCCTCTCCTCTCGCCTCTCCTCTCTTCTCTCCTTTACTGAGTAGTTTTCACAGAAGATTGGACTGGCCAGGGCTGCCGTTGTCAATTTCTTCTAATTGAAACCTCTCTGCTGAGCAGTATCTTCTATTTGAAGTGCCCGAAATCGTAAAAATCGGTCTGCGGAGATTCTCTGGACGTTGTCAGTTTCTTCTATTTGAAACCATGGCCCAACTTCCCCAAAATGACTGCCTTCTATTTGAAAATATTGTTTCTTATCTTCTATCTATAAATAGGATGGACGATAATGGATAGGTTTTTGGATGGTAGGTTTTTGGAGTACTGGAAGGCCCCGGGTATTTTGCCGAAAAGAAGGAAACACATGTGAGCGCATGTGAGCATGTTGGTGGAGCAGAGCAACGGCCCAACCAGCATGACAACACAATGACAATAATACACATATATATAGATATTACATATTAATCATATATGTACTAGTATAATTAGTCACTATAGTCGATACATACATTATCATACATATACTGTAACTTCTTGTAGCCCAACCAGTTGACCGTCCACTACCCCACTGGTATATATTAAAACCAACAACAACAATCAGTCAATCAGTCATTCCTCAGTTGCCCTTTGGCGTGTAAAGTCGTTTCAGTATGTGTTTGAGCGCATGCTGGTCTTGTCCGAGCCAGGGGAAGAACCGCTTGTGGTGAGCGTTGTGAACCGGACCATTGCTTTCCGTGTGACACAACGACCGCTGTGCCAAGAACAGCAAGCGAGTGAAAGGACCAAAAACCAACGAACACATCCTTGATTTGCAGGTCTTGCAGTCAGCCAATGTCTTCAGAGATGCGAACAAGAAGAAGGTCGGGGCCGGGCTTTTTTTTGGGTGGCCTTGCTCGGTGAACTGTGCTTTGCTTGGTGAACTGTACATGGTAATTGTATATGAGACATGATGGCGGATGATGGCCTCGCTTTGATATCTCCGCCGTTAAGAAGAGTGATCGACTGGTCAGGACCAACGTTGAGCGACCTGGTTTTTGCATTGGTCGCTTGGTGTTTCACCTGGGTTTTGGTTGATGGTTCATGATCCTTTTGACAGCGCTGCGACGCACATTGTCCCACCCGCAGTTCCAGGTTGCCTTGGTGTCATCTATGGGCAGGCGCGCTGGAAACATGACTGTTCATGGACATGTCGTTTTTGCCAACCGTAACCAAGGTATGGTTTCTCCATGAATGCTTCAATCTTCCAATGAAGTCAGAGCAAGATCAGCTAGGAAAACTGGCAGACCGCTTTCACCCCAGTTCCAGTTATATACCGATATCGATGGTCACAACTGGGCCGATGGTTGGGCACATGAGGATGGGGTCCTTGACCGCGGTATTCAAGGAAACTTTCTGAAATGGCCGGATGTGACATGTTCAAGGGCTGAGGCTTGACACATAGGTGACGCCTTCTCTTTTTGAACGCTTCCGGAACATACACTCCTCTCAAACCTGGTCCGCGGGAGAGTCTCGAGCACCCCACACATCGGTTTGGGGCGGTTTGGGGCGAGTCTCGAGCGCCCAACAGCAGGCAAGATGGATCCAGAGGGTCTATTTGGACTAATGGGACAGCTTGGAGTAAGGGTCTATTCACTAAAGGTCTTTTTGGATCCAAAGGGCCTCGAGCTTGATTCGATCCCAAAACCCTTCCCAGACACGACCCTCTCTGGGACTGGCATATTGACCGAGAACGGCCAGGCGTGCAGGGGGCTCTGTTTGGGGCGGCAGTTTGATGGCAGTTCCCACTGGTCGTGTCTGGGAAGCAAAACTGTTTGCTTTCAGCACGAACCCGTCGGGAGCTTCCCGATTCCCGGACCCTCAGGACCCTTCGGACCCACCGACCCTGCACCCGCCGGATGCGCGCGAGGTGGAAGGCCCACGTCGTGTGGAGCTGCGCTGTTTCTTGGCTGGGGCGCGGAAACCTGGACAGACACACAGACAGACCGAGACGGATGGGATACGAGCCGAGTGGTCCCCTTTTGGTTCAGATTGATCAGATGAAAGCGCCCCACATGAAAGCTGCTACACACACGACACCAATGCAGGGACTCCTGAGTGACATGATTTGGAGGGACGTCCAAAACGGGGATGAACGGCAGATGAGCGGTCCAGTGAGCGCCCGGGGCATGACGGTCATGGCTCGAGTGTGAGCCATTCTCCACCTGGTCGAAGGAGCAGGCGAACAGTGACCTTCGACAGTCACATGGAGTTGGGTGGTGCTTAGTGCTTAGTGGTCCCATCCGATGTGATGGCGGCACCTCCATGGATAGCAGCCGAAAAACATGAAACTGCTGGTCTATAGAGGTTTTTCAGAGACATGTCAGCATGTGACATAATGTGGGCCAGCCACCTTCCGTTGGAACACAGTCGTGAAAACCGCAAACTGTCTTCCTTTTGACCCTTCTCTACTGCTCTTTCATGGTAGACGAGGTCGGCGAGGATGACGTGCTGATGGAGTGCGCCGGATTTGGGGCCCAAGGGCTGCGGGTCAGCGTGGGTAGTGGGAATTTTTGGGTACGCATTCTTGGAGGACTTGTAGGAAGTCATAAGGGGAAATGGAAGAAACGGGTTAAACGGGATGTGCAGAAAAGCCCAAGAACCAACCCTTCTAGAAGATTCTAGAAGCATTTCTGGATTGATTCCGGCTTTTCTTTGCTACCTAGCTCGCTAGTGACATGGAATCTTGCAGTGGAGACAGTAAGAAAGGGGACCGGCACTGCCCTGGTCCAACAACAAAGAGGAGCGGTATCTTTTGGAGTTTGAATAGATGAAATATGGTGAAACCTTTTCGCTGCACACTATCACTTGAGGCATTTTGACACTGGTTTGTAAGGATGTGGAGGATTGAGGCGACAATGAATGATGATGCATGTATATACATTGTTTTATATTGTTATATACATTCAAATGTATTTAACTGTTCCTTTTTCCAGGGCTCTATTGGGAGGTTCCCTTCTTCTGAAACACTTGGTTTGTTCTTGTTTGTTGCCACGGGCCACGATGTCTCCGCGCATGCCCAGATCAGATAGATCAGATGGCTTCAGGAAACATCAGGAAACGAGAAGCATGAAGAAGTCGAGGGCGGATTTCTTGTAAGACCGCAATTGAACATCATTGAACCCTTTGCACCTCGGGTACCCCACTCCAAGGGTGGTGATTCTTTGCCATGCTGAAAAGATGTGCCTGCATGGTGGAAAGCACTTAAGCAGTGTCCAGCGATCTACTTTGTCTCCCAATCCTTAGGACACTGGAAAGAGTCAATTATTTATCCCCTGAGCAGACAGACACTGATGGTCAAACTGGACGGAGGACAGCTACATTTTACATGTTGCATCATGTGCTTTCCAAGGAAAGGGCCGAGGGCGCCCATGTAGAGAATTAGACAAGGTTCTTCTCATGAGAACTCCAGTCCGCAGACCTGGACGCTCTTTGAGTGGCAGACCTACACGGCGGTGTCCCGTCGCCCCCGGCCGAACCCCCGCTTCCCCGCGACGTCCCGAAGATGGCGCAGCCTGGAGGCCGAAGAGGCGGCGTTTCTCCGAACGGGTGATTGGAAGGGAGGTCTCAAGCATCAGAAGGAAGGATTTTCCACAGATCAGTACCATACAGTACCTGGCGTCCACGAATTTTCATGTTTCACCCTCCAATCTGGGTCCAGCAGGACCATGGCCTGTGTGGCAGAATCGCGATCTGGTGCGGATCCCTCGGGGACGGAGAAAGACGGCTGCGGAGATCGCCGCCTTGGACCGCGCCAGGCGTGGAGGTTGGGTGTAGAGATCCCCTTGAGAATATCCACTACAGAATGAATGGCCATGTGGCCAGTAGAATTCTGGATTTTAGTGAATTCCATTCGTCTCCATGGTAAAAATGAAGGGGGAGAGTTTGTAGCAATCTGATGAAGGTCCTCCAAACTTGCTGGAGCAGGGGTCACCCAGAGAAAGGGGATTCTGTTCTCAAGTTGAGGGACAAGGAAGACCCTGGCGACATCCTAGAAATGTGATATAATTGGATCACAGTGTTTATTCGGAAACGGATTAGACTGATTAGACCAGAGGCCCCAAAACCTTGGGATTGGTACCTCCAAGCTCTCTCAGTCTGTTTCGGATTGGTGGTGCATTGCGGTGCTTGTGAGCTAGGAATTGTTTGGTTTTCATGAGCGGTGTTTTGACGACTACCAGATGCGATCACGGTCACTTTTAAGATGGTGCATCCACGGTCGAGCTGGGGGGATTCTATCATATTCCAAAGGCACTGGAAGTGGATGTGGCAGGTGGCTACGCGGCTAAGTTAGGAGCTGGGGGAGGGTTGACCTTCCATGATTTTGCTAGTGCCTTTCCCAAACATCATCATCCCTTTGTGCAGGGAAGGGCAAGACTTGAGACAAAGTCAACGATGCAAGCAGAGACTACTGTATACAAAATCTTGCATTGCTCCAACCGAGGTCCCAATCCCTGGAATCCAAGATGAAAGTCTTTCCGAGGAGCGCCAGTACACACGCGCGCCAGAGGTCTTGGGTGCAAAAACGGAGCCTCCTGAAACCTTCAGCACAATGCGAGAACGAGCATTTTTTGCATCATGTGGTATCCGGAGATCCGCATAGCCTGCACCAGCTTTGCAAGGGATCATGGCTTCAGAGAGGTTAGGAAGGTGCCAGATTAGTCAGTCAATCTAACCTCCTGAAGACTATATAGGTGGCAAATCCAATGTGAGCGGCTGATCATTCAAGAATCCAGTGGTTGGTCACCTTGTCCACTAGTCATAGCTTTCTGAAACGCAGTCACCTCCCGACACTGCCAACCTTCAGGATCCACCTGTCGCAGGTTTCACACACACACACAACGCCGCACCGCCGGACGCAGGATTCCAGCACGGAAGGTAGCTCCAGCAGCTCCAGCTCCAGTCGCCGCAGGAACCAAACCGCCGGGGGGTCCAAGGAAAAAGGTTGATGGGGAAGAAGTTGGCAAGCGACTGCGTTTTGGATGGTGTATCATGAATGATCTTAGAATTGGTCGTTTCGCTTCGCAAGAGTAGGACGTTTCTAGACAGCAGGTGATAGCTGGTAGCTGTTTGTCCAGATCCCTGTGGGCGACATACTCAGCAAACTATACATCCAAAGGGATGAAGAATCTCAACCCATTTGATTTTTGGATTTTTGATAGGAAAAGACATGAACAGGACCATGTTTTGGCTCCAAAACAGGGGTCACCCAGCTTCTAATCTTAGGTGTATATATATATATACGGTGTATGCAGTATCATACAGTACACATATAATATATACAACATTATACAACATACACTCACTGACTCACTTACGATGCCTGCCTCCCGCGGCGCCTCCCGCGGCACCACCAGTTGGCACCCAAGGCCAAGAAACGCGTCCGCAAGTGGCGCCTGAAATTCGCGGTGACCAAGCGTTTGAAGATCCTTGGAGGGGACCACGCGACGTCCGACGGTACCGGCGATGGGAAGACGCAGTGGCCATCGGGGCCGACGCTCTGGTGAATGTGGAGCAATTGATGTAGTCAGTGCAGCTGGCTTGGGTTGTTGTTTGGTTTTGGGTGAAAGATGGCAAAAGATGTTCAAGAGGATCTACTTTCAAGTTCCAACCCTGTTTGTTCAGATGAAACCAAAGATGGGCGAGAAGCATAACTTGGCTTCACAAGACAGGTGGAGACTGGACACGACGGGTGGAGGCTAAGTTTTGCACAACCAGTAGTTCATAGTAGTTCGATGTGAATCGGTATGGAGTGAGAGCCTGACTGGATGCCGCAGACCCCATAGAACAAAGAATATTAATTTGAGTGTCATTTGAACAGAAACGAGCTGCTTCATGCGGCGTTTGCAAATTTGGCCAAATGGTAACCGTCTTAAGAACAAAGTTTCGAACACAATCGAGGTTGGTTGAACTCAGAGCATTTTCTAGCAAGGCCCAGCCTGTATTGTTTGGAGATGCTGACCTGAGCTGTCGTGTTGTCCCATTTCTGCCATGGCCGGTGTAGGACATCGAATCAGTCACGGGACTTCTCATCAGTCGGATCCATTTTCCAGTGCAATGGGTTCTATATATAGTCTATTGTCCTTTTTCCAAGGGGGTCTTTGGAGGTGTCCCTATTTGTATAAATACACACCCATTTAACTCCATTGGAGCTCGCCATTGACTGAAGGAGCTTGCCTTGGGACCAATCCAGAGTTTTGGCCAGGTTTGGAATTACAGAATTCCCCCTGTTCCAGATTCTGGTTTGATCTCACAACAGCATTTTCCTCCACAATTATAGAGTTTCTTTTTGATTCTCTCCAGAACCTGCAGACCGTCCGATAGCTCTCAGGAAAGAGCTTTTGCCTCCCAGGCGGCGGCGTTTTTGGCTTTCTGGATTAGAGAGATGAACACAGGAAACCCATCCATCCATCCATCCATCCATCCATCCATCCGATGGAAACAAGCTGTCAACTGAAAAACACAAACCGGCACCACGGATTCCGGGTGTCCATTAATATCCCCTTAAAGACGTCAAGGGGTGTCCATGAACCACCCTTTCCGTGGTCCTGGAATGTTTCAGTCAATGTTTGTAAACATCGCAGTCGGCGGCATGGGCAACATTGTCACTTCAGTAGGTCATACCTAGGCAGTCGAGGCGTCGGGATGGTCGCGGCTCAGTCGTTGAAGCGATGTGGAGCCAACAAAAGCTGTCATCAGAACATAAGAGAACTCATTAATGGAAGATAAAGTACAGTAGACTCTTGATCAATCAACCCACTCATTTAATTTGGAAATCCTCTTCATATGGGGGGTGAAATCATCAAGAGCCTACCTTCATACAGATTCTCCATCAATTCAACTAGTAAGGGCACCTAGTTCCAGTGAGGTCACACCTTTCCATGTGCTGCTCCTCGCCTTCCCTTCTCCACCCGGTCCACCCGATCTGCATCCGAGCTGAACACAGACGCAGACACCTGCGACACGTGGCTTAAAGACCTGGACCGTTACCAGGTCTTTCTTCTACTTTGTGTAGCATCCAGAAACATCCATGCTGGAGGAGAACCCAGCCAACCTGCTCACCAGACCCAACCAACCTGGTCACTGGAAGCTCCACTGATCACCGGACGAGGCAACACCAGCTGCATGGCGCTCGCAGGAAGCGTCGGAACTTCCTGGTGGTGCCGAAGCTCCTCGACGCTGAGGACCACGGAACTCGGGACACGTGGGGTTCCTGAACTGGCAGGTGCGGTGGCAGGGTTGAGGGCGCGACACGGTTTATGGTTTTGGTTGGGATCTTGTGTGGTTCTTTTCTGATAAATGCACTTGGCACCTTTGATGAATATGATGGAAGTTGGACAAGCAAATGGTTGAGGATTACGATGGATTGCTCAAAGGTATCATGTCCGTTTGGCGATGGGTTTATAGAACGTCGCACTAAGAATCATCAGCCCCAACAAAAGCACCATGACACCTGGAGAAAACAATGTTGATACACAGGTTGGTGATGGTTATGGGACAGTTGGTGTTTACATGTGTTACTCACTGGTCCTCGTATTGCAAAAACTGGGTGGACGGCGCTGGTGGTGAAGGTGCGGTTCCATCGTCCCATGCCTCGGCTGGGCGCTCCTGGGGAAGCCAACATCAAACTTGCCCTGGTAGAAAAGATCCTCCTTCCAATTCCCATGATTGCCATTACAACAACCAAGTTGGCGCGTCAAACCTCCCCATCTTCTCGTCGCTCAACATCTTCCAAAGACATCACCCCCAGCGGTGGCGGCGCCAGAGCGGGCGTGGCCGAAGGGGTGGCTGATGTGGCTGCACAAGCATTTCCTTTGAGAAAGATCACGGGTCGTTGAAGAATGAAGCCATGTGGAAGAATGGTCATTGGGACAGTCCTCAAAAAAGCAGTCGGCTGTATTTAACCCTGAATTTCTTCACATTGCAGCTCCTCTTGAACACCTGGAAAACAGAAGCAGCAAGCGCCCTGAGACTCGAAACCCGCCCACGGGAGATCGAGTGGAGCCAAGTTGGCTCCCACCATGTGGAGGAGATCCGGTTGATCCATGACTTGTGGCATCATCCAAGTGTGGAGGAGATCAAGGATCGAAAGAAGACCCTGCAGTACCGTCACTGGGCTTCACCGTAGCTGGTCTCGTACCGTCGCGCAGTTTCACCAACTGCGAAACAAGCCAAAAAATGGAAAGAAACCTGCAAGCTCCACCTTCTTTTCCTCTATGGCAGAGAACCTCGAAGACCATTTGTACAGACTTGTTCATCTAGGCCGGCACCAGGTGTTGTCATGTAATTATAGCAATTCTCCGAACTGGTTGAAAGAACAAATGTCTTGGAAAGAACAAACGTCGAAAGATGTGAGATCCAACAGGACCAGCCGCGTTCACCAGCAAACCCGGAGCTCGGTCCATGAACTTCTCGGATTGCTGTCTCACCTGCGCTGGTCTAAAGGCTGGGCACCGAGGAACCGGTTGTCGGGCGAGGTGAGACAGGAACGCCCTAGAATATATATATATATGTTTATGTTTGGTATTGTTCGAGTTTCGACCATGTTTTTTTGACTATATTTTGACTATATACTATATTATTATATATATATATATATGTTTTGTCTGTTGAAAACTATATTTGTTTGATTTTCTAAGGCTACTTTTTTGACTGTATACATGCTTTTTTGTTTTTAGTATTTGTATAATACTATATTTGTTCGCCCATAGATGCCCATAGTGCACTTTCAAGAAGTTTGGGCGTCACTTCCCGGCCAGACAATGGTTAACCTTTGACCCTTTTGCCTACCAAACATATCGATCAGGCCTAAATTACTTTGTTTTTGCAATTAAACTTTGGTTTCGTGTTGATGATGGTGTTTGTTCAAGAAGTCATCCCTTGAACCAATCCAAGTGATCAAGGAGGGCAGGCAAGTCAGGTAAACCCACACCTCGTGCACTCTAACCGGAAGGTATTGGGTGTACATTCTGTTACCAAACCAATCCAACTCGAAGTCACACCTTTGCCAAGTCTTCAGCAATCCCGCCAAGGTCACATTGCTTATCGAATGGCCAGGGTGACCCAGAGTTGCTGTGGACATCGCTGTTGATACCCATGGCAAACTGGCGTGGACGGCGACAACCAAACATTTTCTTTTAGATGATGTGCATGAGGGAAGATGAGGGTCCAAACTCATTGGTTCGCCTCGAAAAAAGGGATGGCTCCAGACAGGGACACAAGAAGACCACTCTTCAGTGGGTTCCGGAGCCGAAGAGGCCGAAGAGGGGAGTTGTGGAAAAGACTTGCAGCGACCATCCCGGGTACCTCCCGAACGCACTGGCATGTCTTGGCGAAGCATCGAGAGTCTCAGTGAGTTTGGACCCCATGTGTTTCAAAGCTTCTATTCTTGACCGACAATAACAAGAAGCTACTGGGAACAAGGGCACTACTACTAGTAGCCATGTAGCAAGGAAGCTGGGCACGGGGCGCTCCTGGCCTTACCGCCCTGTAACAAGAAGCTACGAACGTAGAAAGAAGCGATACGCACGGTGGAGGCCATCGATATTAGGTTGGAAGCGATGTCTCCCAAGTCGACGATGTGGAACGGTCGATGGGTCGCTGCCGAACGGTCTGCCCAGGAGCTGCCATTGCGGGCGCATGGTTTGGCGCCAAGATGGGCGGTTGATCAGAACAGGGCGGCAGATAAGGGGATGATGGGGTGCGGGTGGTAATGTAGAACTGTAGAATGATGATAATCAATTAAACTCTTCCATTTGGATTGAACAACTTCTGCATATGCGGGCTTTTATTCATCAACAGTCGATTGTCTTCATACAGCTTGCCTCCCCCGCCTACAATTGATATCTTCAAAAAGTAATCCCTTCTTCCTGATGATCAACCCAACCGTGGTTTGCAAGTGGATTTGTTCATTCATGACGGCCCCAAAAGTATGTTACACATACAACATAATACAACATGCATATAATACAACCAGTCCCATCTCGGTAGCTGAGGTGTTGATTTCTATCCTCCAGAGGTTGCAATGGGGGGAGAACACGTCTTGAGGCCAGCACTTGTATGCAAAGCTCATCGACACTATGGCATGGGCTGATGCCTTCCTTTGGCAAAAGCCACGGCCCTAGTGGTGAGGCCTGAAAAGCCGAGTCAGCCAATGAAAACCATGCTTGCTTGCTTGCTTACTTCCTTCCGTCCTTCCGTCCTTCGGTCCTTCCGTCCTTCCTTCCTTCCTTCCTTCCTTCCTTGAGTACTTACTCATTTGCATAGTAATGCATATGCCCTCTCAAAGTCATTGTCCCACTAGAGGGCTTGGCGTACGGCACACAGTTTCAAGGAGAGCAAATATTAGAGTCTAGAGACATGGTTAAAGGATGTTAAAGGGTTAAACAAAAACACTTTGTTTGTATCAAATCTCTGAACATGGGCCGAGACCCTGTTCTGGACTCCCTGTGTGCTTTCCGGCAATGGGTGAATCATGGTGAATCACACAAATTCCAGAGATTGAAGACCCACTGAGAGAGCTTCCAAGCAGATGACCTGGCTTTGCATGAAAATTGGTTGTTTGGTCAATTGCACTTTGAACAAGTTGTTTTGTTCAGATCTGTCGATTTTTACTGAATCCTTTTTACCCAAATGACTTGGTCCCTCGTCGGCCTGGCCTGCCTGCCGACTCATGGCATCCGTGCCGACCGACTGCACCCGACCCGCCCAGGCTGCCGCGGAATGAGTTCGCCTATCCGGAGGCTGCCAAACAACTGGAGGAGATCACCCAAATCGCTCCTTGAGTCCTTCAAGGAGTGGGTCGACCCACCCGGAACCCTCCAAGAGAAGACGCGAAGACGTTTCAGCCAAGGGTTGTATACCTGTGGCTATATATTGGTACAAGGTGTCTATTCAGGGATAAAAAGACCTCCTCGGAGTTGTGTTTTTTTGTCCTTCCTGTTTTAGTTCTTTCCATTCCCTGCTGTCCTTTCCCAGTTTTTTGGTATTGTCCCTTCCCGCTTTTTTGCCTTCAACCAGGTGGAGTACATCGTCTACGAAGGCAAGGAAGGCCTGCCTGGTCAGGTCACCCATCGGGTCATCCATGCGCACGCGCATTTGCGTACGGGCGTGCGGGCGTGCGTCGGGACGTGCGGGCGTGCACACCTGGTTGCTCCTGGTTGCTGAACTGGTCAGCCCTACTGAAGTTGTATGAGAACTGAAGGCTTTTTGCTCAGTTGACCACCACAAAGATGGCGTCATGAAGTAGAAGATGAGAACATCCCGGAAACATAATATTGAAACAAATGGCAGAATGGGTCCATGTTCGTGCAGTGCCTGATTCTGAATTCTAGGTTGGTCTCGACAATTCCAACCCGGCGTTCGCCCAGCCGTGAAACTCACGGCTTCTGAGGTAGCATCGAGCCCCACGTGGACAACCATTCAGCTGTGACCATTGCGCCTCAGAGCAAGAACAACACTTAGTCATACTTACTGTAGTCCTTGTTGAATAGTTTTTGCTTTTTTGGTCGCTTGAAAGTCTACTCAGTGAGTGGATATAAAGACCTTTTGGATCCTTTTGGGGGATTGGGTTTCCCCACTTAAAGCCAACAAGTGGAGGTTTGGTTCACCTTGATCCAGGGAAACGGCTCGGGATCGTGTTATCACCCGTGGAAGGTGCTAAATGATTCCTCGGGAAGTGTCGCAAAGCTGGATGGGAGCTGGTGTTGATACCTTTCGCATGTTGCTCCAGATGATATTGGGTGGAAGACCCCTCAAGCTTTGAAGCATTTTGCAGAACTTTTTGGTTCTACAGTTCTACAGCTGTATATTTCCTGCGCGAGTCTGTGGTGGGCTGCTTTGAGTTACGTAACCTTCCGATGCCGATGCTTTGGAAAGCAATTTTAACAACAATATTATAGGGCTCACAAGCATGAAACTCCCCACCAATATTTTGGGAACCATATATCTATTGAATCGCATGCTCTCTCCGGTCTGAGTTTTCGCTCTCAGGTGGTGCTGCTCTCGGATCCCTCCGAGTTTGGAGCCTCAGAGTGGGCACCTGCCGGGTCACCCTCCATAGAAGTACTGGAGGCAAGGGATCCACCAGACCTTTCTAAGCAGGGACGGCTACAATGACGGCTATGCGAGACAACTCACCCTCCATCCAAGTTTTAGCCGTGAACCAGAAATACCCACTTGGCTACATTTGGCATCGTATTTCAATTCTTTGTTTGTAAAAGAACAGACATCGATATTTATGTTGTCGGATACTGTAGAGAGGATTTACATGGATTTACCCACGCACTGCCCGTCCAAGGTTCAAAGGTGGTGTGAATTGCTTTGCTTCGCCGGACTCTGAGGATGTGCCTTGGATGATGTCTTTGTTGTTTGCAGCTGAGGCGAGAAAAAACACCAAAGAACGGTCTTATGGATATGAGGTATAAGGATGTATAATGGAACGTTCGCTTGGCCACAGCTTGGAATCTAGCTGATGTGCTTCAAAAGTTGGGCCACCCACGGACTCCATCACCCGACACCCCGACACTGCGGCTTCTGAACCGCTCCACAGCCCTGCTGCAACGCGCGGCGCGGGTCGACGCTCTCCGTGGCGCGGTTCGGCGCTCCCAGTTGCCGGCGCGGGTGGTCTCCTTGGACGTGGGCGACGCCGTGCTCTTCCGAGGCGCAGCCGTCGGACTCGACGCACGCGCGGAGCCGACCCTGCGTGTCGGACGAAGTGGTTTTGGGTTCGGTAGGTGAGGTGGTTCGTTTTTTTCGGTGCGGTACTTGAGCATTTCTATTGCGGTGTCGATGAAGTAGATGTTTGGCCTGTACTTTGGGGGGTGAATCTTGTGTATTACAACAGTGATTGCAGCGTTTGCGGGGAGTTCAGCCCAGCTCACTTTCCCACAAGAAGCTTCATATTGAAGCAAGGCCTGTGGAGGTGGTTCTTGGGGTAATTTGAAGCCTCGCAATTGTCGGCTAGTCCTTCTTGACCCCCCCCAAAACGGATGGTACTGGTACTGGTGGATCCCACCACTCCACCTATCCAGCTCACCCTCCTCAAGCTGCACCGCTTGGAGGTGAGAAACTCCGGCACTGGATCACCCCGGTGACCGAAGGCAGGCGTGTGATTTTGCAGATCGAGCTCTCCAGAGTCTGACAAGGCGAGGGCAGGGGACAAGGGGACGAGGGCTATTGACCTGAAAGCCACGTGACATCGAAGAAAAAAACATAGGGGTCGCGCTAAATAGTTATTCCAGGGGATACGTCAATGGGTGGAATCATTTTATGCTGGAATATGCTGGAATCGTGTTCTTGACATCATTTCTTGACAGGGGGGGTCATAGGGGGTGTCAACGATGTACCAGAATCATTTTTGCATTACTATATTAACTATAATGATGTCAGAATTGATGATTGCTGCGGTTTTCAATGTCATGCTTGAATGCGCCTGAGTCTCAAGCATACAGACACCTACTACTGAAATGAAGATGAGTCTGAGTTTCATTTGCTTTCTATGCTGTTTTATAGAGTTTGAGACCCACCGTCCCCGTACATCCCGAGGCGAACGAGGCTCCAAACTCCGTGCCCAAACTCTGCGCGCTGCGGCGGCGAGAGCGGCCCCACGTTTGCTGCGCTCGCGGCTGACACGCGCAGCGCGTTGGAGCGAGGTGGTGCGGAGAAAAGCGGCCGCTGACAGGCTTTCTAGTCGCTTCCGTCAAGCCGCTCTGAAATCAACATTCAGCTGACATTGAGCCTTTGACCCTTTCTTGCTCACTTTCTTGTGGTTGTGGGCGCCCCATCGATCGACTCAAGTCCCGTGTCTCCAACCTCAACATCCGGTTTTTCCGCTTCGAACCAAAAGAAACGGAGTCAATGACCTTCAAGGGGTGTCTTGTCTGGAGGTCCCTTAGTGGTGGGCTGGGGCTTCCAGCCAGGTGACCCCGACATGAAGGTGCTGGGAGTCATTCATTGCAAGTCTCAACCTCGTTTCAGGTATTCATGCAGCTCTCCCGGCTGTGTCTCGAGGGTCTCCAGCAGGGCTTTGCTCGAGCTAAGTCAAACTTTGCAGCCCGGAGCTCAGTGCAGAACCACGGTGGCAGAAGAGGGCCAGGTGCTTTGTTTTTTACTTTTTCCCAAGAAGCCTGGACCCAAAAGTATCAAAAGATATCAAAAGCAATGAGCTGACTACTGACTACTGTACTTGACTTGATTGGTTTCAATGAACAGCCCATTGCCTGCCAGCACCATCTAGGAACAAGATAGAGCTATTGTTCTTTCCCCCTTGGTGGAGCTGTTCTTTTCTTGACGTGGTTAGTTGCGGGGGGATGGCTCAGATGGATCCCTTTCGTTTGATTGGCCCCATAGAGTTCTGCCAGAGATGGTCGGCTAGCGGGAGGATGGTCCTCCAGGCGTTCAGAACTGCCACACATCATGAATTCCTTCGGCCATCAGGTGTTTATGGTGGTCTTGGAAGGTCCAAGTACCTTCTGAGGAGGACTTGGAAACCTAGGGTCTGTGTAAGATATCTGTAGTCAGATAGTCAGAGTCTTGGGTGCAGATTTGGTAGTTACCGGTGACATGATGCACGGCCTTGTGATGAGAGGGTTCTCATGAGCTTAGGGCCACCGACAGATGTGCTACCGACAGATGTACTACCAGCATCTGTGAACATGGACAAGGATTCTTCCAACGCATCCCAAAACCGAGCTCGCGCAAACCCAAAGCATTCATCGTCAACGAATATGTTCTTCCACCAGTTTCTGAGATGGTGGCCTCTATCCCTTGGTGAAAACACCATCAGTCAGTGACCTGAGGTGTTGGCAGAAGCGCTGGCAGCGGTGTGAGGATCCAGGCTGGGTGATTCATGTCAATTGAGGATGGCTTGAACTCCGACTCACTCACCTGAAAATGTGAGGAAGCACCACCTGAACTCCACCTGAACTAACCTGAGTAAGTGGAACACCACCTGAAAATGGTCCTTCTCAAGGGGCCATGCCATCCATGTGAGCTGTTGGTCCGAGTGAAGATCAATCCAGCCAGGCGCGCCATGTCCCCATGCAGTCCTAGGTCCTATAGGACTCCCAGGATGTCGCAGGTCCCACCAGACCAGAGTCAAAACCAGTCGCAGTATGTTGCAGCGATGAGTTCCAGCATACTTTGCTCGACTTCGTTTCCAACACTACGGTGTTTTGCTTGGTTTGGCACTAGTTTTCCAAGAGTTGGCGATTCTTAAGGATCTTTCACCTCAAGGCTTGCGTCCTTTTGTTGGAATGACGCTGACAGGAATATCAATCCGGTCACCCACTGGTGCTCGTTAGGTGATGGCGTCTACAAGCATGTAGTATAGTGTATTCAGTTCACAGCGCTTGGCGCTCGAAGCCGCCCGCACGGAGAGTGTGCGTCTGTCTGTCTCGGTCGGTCTGTCTCGGCCGGTCTGTCTCGATCTGTTTGTCTCGGTCTGTCAGTCTGTCTGTCTCGGTCGGGCAGGAACACACACGCGATGTCAATAGTCTGTCTCGGTCTGTCCGTCTCGGTCTGTCATGAGTGGGTCCTTAGAACATTTTTTCCTGGGTACCATGTGGGCTACTGGATTAATTTCACAGGATTAATTTTCTGGGGGGGTGGAGGGTAGACCCCCTGCACTTGTCGGATTCGTTTTTGAATGCTGACTAGAACATGCTGCGCTAGAATCTGGCAGTATGTAACGTGTAATTGACGCGTCAAATAGATGTTTTTTGCAAGCTCAAACATATTTTTTTACTTGCTTTCTCTTTCAGAAAGTAATCTGGCAGTATGTAACATGTCAAGTTTTTCTTCCAGCCCTTGCCCTGATGTCAACAACCTGCAGAATAATTTGACAATCTTTTTGGTTTGGTATCCAGCTGAAACATTTCCTTACACAGTATTTTGCGCCTGCTTAAGGATACCTACCACTCTTCCCTCTGCATAATAATCCAAGATCTCAACACATCTGGATTACTGTATTTTGTTTTTTGATGTATGGTAGTATGCGGTTTTTAAAAATTAACCTGGGGGTATGATACATGGGTATACGGTATACTGCTAAGGACGGTCTGCCTGTCTCGGTCTCTCTGTCTCGTCTGTCTGTCTGACTGTCTTGGTCTGTCTGTCTCGGTCTGTCAGTCTCGGTCTGTCTCGGTCGGGTAGGACACACGGACGAACACATCCACGATGTCAATATTGCAGTCTGCCTCGGGCTGCACGGCCGACGTGGCCAACGCTTAGAACCGAAGCCATACGGACAATCATACACGCATGATTAAAATCTTCACTTCCCGGGTAAAAATGAGGCCCCCCCCCCAGGCTAAATTAAGCTTAAACTGTGTATCTATCCTCCAGTCTACGCGAGCCTACACAACGCCTCAGCACCTTCGGTGCGGGCGGATTTGGAATTGGGACAATCTCACTGGGATCCACATCAACCTAGCTCTGTGAGGCACTTCGCCGATGCAAAGCCCCACGTCTGACACAGGGCCCCAGGCCCCACGCTGTTCTCTGCAGGGGAGCCACCTGTGGAGGAAGATCGGGAAAGTGAAGAGCGCTTGGTGGGGCTCTGAGCTTTGAAACCATCAAGGCGGAGGAGTTGGACAGAAGCCGTCAGAACGGGCACAGATTAGCAAGCACTGATCAGCAGCACCCAGGTTAGGAAACTGGGTGGTGGTTTCAGTTCTTCTGATGTTCAATCTTTACGTGAACTGATTCCCACTGGTTCATATCTTCCAAAGTGTGGTCCCTCCTCCAGAAAACCCAGGCAACAGGTGGGAATTTGTTGGTTTCCCGAAGACCAGTAAAAATTGATACGGAAACCTTCATAGGGGATTCGTTTCACGGCTGAACGCGAACATGGAAAAGGGAGTGGAAAAGGGTGAATTTTTTGTTTTCCAGGGGAATTGAGGGCGTCTGGAAGGCCAATAGAGGGCGGATTTTTTCCCACCATCGCGGGGTCAGGTTTTGGAGAAACTTCCGTGGTTCAGGGGAGGGGATGAGTTTGGAACAGATGTCATGTGGGTTCCCGTTGTGGATGTTCTTGGGGTCTCACTTGAGAATAGTGTGTGTGTGTGTGTTTTGGTTTCAGATAGTTTTATGTTTAACCTTTACTTTGATGATTGAACCCACTGACTATGTTTTTCAAGTGAGTTGAACCCACCAACCAGTGACGCGTGTGTGATTTGGTTTTTGGCATACTGTCCTACTGAATCACATGGCATACAACATCCTACGTATGTATTTTCGTAGCGCGTTCGAAACATAACCCTGCCAGACAATGATGGATCGCCCTTGCATGCTCGCCTCTTTGAGGCCAGCATACTGTCGGAGCTGCGGTCCAAGCCCCTTGGAACGTTTGATTTGTTGAGCTGTCGGAGTGTGTTGACGGTGGAGAAACCGGAAACCTCCTGAAAAGGGGGCCTGAGCGGAGGGTAGTTGGAAAAGGCACCAAGTCCTTGCCCCAGTAGATCGCAGTTGCCACTGTGAAGACAGCACTCCAAGTCGATCGGACATCTTGTTTCACCTCTTGTTTAAAGTTCATGTTGGTCAAGCTCGAGATGAAGAGCAGCAATCACTGTGGCCACTGTTGGGAATTCATGTGAGTGAAATCATCACAACGTCCAAAAGAGCTTCCTATCCTATCCCAAAACATCTGACTGGACATTGACATACCTTTGACTGGAATACATGCCGTGACCCCTCGAAACCGCCCCAAGGTTGAAGTAGAATAAGTAGATGCGCCAGAGATGGGAGTCTCTGGGGGCCCCGACCATCAGTGACCCATTTGTTTTTCTTTTGCCCACCGGTGAACCGACGCGGCCCACCCGCGAGGTCCAAACCGAGAGCCACCATTAGAGGGGGAGATGTGGATTTATAATGATTTATATATATATGCGATATTATGCGATAATTTACTTGTTCTGTTTATTTTTGGGATCACTTTGCGGCGGACAACCCTTCCACAATAGACTATGGAGAGCACGGTTGCTGGCCTGGTGCTGGTGACCTGATTGAAGAGTTAAATACCTACCGGATCTACATACTTTAACGTATGAACGCACTGCGAGGGGCGGCCAGAGTCGACCACTTTGAAGACGCGGTCGACCTTGGCTTGCACCTTTGCACCCAATGCCATCCGGATGGTTTTGGAGACCCTTTGGAGACCCTTTGATACGCATCCATTTGCACAGAACTGGCAGATGAATGCACATGAGCATCGGCTTTTGAACATGTTTTGTAGAGGACATTTTCAAAAAGTTCCAAGCAAGAAGGTTGTGCAATCTTGTGAACTGGCACGTTTTCGCAAAAGCCAACATGCAGGTCGCGAAAGGGGTGTGAAAGCTGCGAAAGCCCCCACTAGGAACTATTGTTGCAGAAACATTTGGCGAAAGCCAAATGTTTTTGTATAACATTTAAACGACGGTCAGTGTGGGTGGCTGCCTTGGACTGCAGAAGAGACAGGGAAGTTCAACTACAGACGTGACAAGCAGGGAGAAAAGCTTGGGAGGCTAGAGATGTATGTTCCTTCCACCGCACTACCTCTCACCCAAGGTTTCACATCTCAGGCGGTGACGTCAAAGTTGAGAGCTCGTTCCTTGAAATCACGAGCTCGCCGCAGAGAGCGGTGGGACTTTTGTCAAAATCAGTGAGCAATGGACTCTGGCAACCCGTGAGCAGAGCCTGAGAATTCTCTGCGGCTCACGTCTCAGCTTCATCGTCTCAACCTTGCACTCTACTGGCCACAGTTCATCCGCTTTGTGTTCGCAGTTGTTCATTTCATCGTTGTCTTCTGTGTCATCCTGCTTCACCCAGACCGAGACCAGCTACGGAGCACTTGCGTTGCTGCCTCATCCTGTGGGCAAAAATCTGTTAGCCTACTTGGTTCGGAAGGAGCAAGAAGAGTCCAAGACATTGGTTTGTAACATTTGCTGGCTCAGATGGACATGTAGAAGAAGATACTGGGCGACCTGACAAGTCAGTTGAATGAGGGAAAGCTGAAGATAGCTGAACGTGAAGGATCTGCTTATT